TATATATATATATATATATATATATATATATATATATATATATATATATATATATATATATATATATATATATATACATACATATGTTGTATATATGTATACACACATACATACACATCTAAGCATACATATACATATGTACATGTATATACATACATACACATTTGTACATAAGTGTCCAGGATACCACAGATTTACAAGGCTCTATTTTTATTGTACAGGGAGGAGTTGAACAGTCTGATGGCTTGAGGGGCAAAGGACTTCCTGAATCTTTCCATGGAGCAGGGCAGGGCCAGTAGTCTACCAGTCAAGAACGTTTTTTAATCAAATGCTATCATGTTTTTAATCAAACACTATCATTCTGTTTTTTTTCTTTCCGAAATTGAAAGTCAATTTGTGATACCATTTTTTTTAAACATCAACAGTGAACATTTGATAGGCAAATGAGAAGGAAAATACTCACTGGCAGCTTTGATGAAACTCCTGTGGTACTGGTATGTCATGAGAGGCGCCGGCAGCATTCTGGAAATACAGGACCTGTTAGCTCAGGCATTGAGCTTCAGATTGGCTGTATTATGAAAATCAAACACTGAAAATAGTTGTGAGAGTGCTCAATAAAACTTTCAGCAACTTCTCATGAGACTTCTGTTGCTGCTAGATGAGTGTAATGCTGCCTGCTGGGTCTTGGTGAAGCCTGACCTGAGCGAATGAGTACCGTGTAGAAGTGGACAGCAGGGGTTGCTGGGAAGTATCTGAATCTGTGTGTACCTGAGAGTTTGTGTGGAGCTCAGAATAGATTTATTCAGGTACAGTAGACTGATGGCAGAATAAAGACGACAACTATCTTTTACATTTTGTCCCTGCTTCCTACCTGTTCATGCCACAGTTATTATTAGTGTTCTTAAATAAGTTATTTAATAGTTTAGTTTGGATCTTTTAAGGTTACGAGTAATAAATATATTTTTTATTGTAAATATCTCTTTGAACAACCTCAGTTTAGTGAAACAGTTTAAATCTGACTGGATATAATGAGCTAACAGCTGGACTCAAGCGAGTCGAGACCAAAGTGGACTGATGTCATCTTAAAGCAACTCTAATCGGTAAGATTACATGGCAGTTCATGCAAACGCCATTTTATAAGCGTTTACACAAAACCACAGCACTTGTGTGTCTTCATTGCAGATTTCTGTGCATGTGTAGTATGCTGAAGTAGTGAAGTGTGAATTAGCCTGAGCCAGACAAAACGCTGAGAAGAAATTAAAAAGGACATCAGATTTGCTTTGCAAAGAGTTTGTGGTAAAATAAGTAAGGGGATGCGTTGCTGGTTACACATTAGTGCTGGGACAATGCAGACAGTTACCAAGTGGTCAAATATATCTAGAGATTTACATCTGCCTGACCAACTGCTCAGGATTTCTTACACAAGATACACCTCTGAAATAATACAACACTAAAAGCTCGTCATTTTTGCTTATAGGGTGTGTATTTTGAGGCGTCAAAGGAATTGCCTGTTTGAATTGTGACAACTTTGATCATTGCAAGGGTGTGTGGTAATTCTCACAAACTGTAAATGTGTCTCGATAAAAATAATGGACTTATTATTACTGAATAAGTAGAACAGTGTGGAGTTTTTACTGAGAAAGCTCTTTCTGGTGATTTCACTCGACGCGCTCTGGTACGAGCTCGATGATGAGCATTGTTAATTGTGTGTCAGGCTTAGTTGCCGAGTTAACACTTAAAATAAACAGAAATATTAAAAATAAACACATGAAACTACACCTGTAGTAACATTCAGACTACACGTGATACTGCGGTTTTTATGAGTCATTGATGTCTGAGGCAAGTAGCCGTTTGTCTGCTTGTTTTTGTTAAAGAAATCTATAAAACAGGGCTATTCAACTAAACTGCTCAGGGGTCACAGTTTCTGAAAGCCAGCCGCTCAGGGGCCGGACATCCAGCAATTAAAGTCAATATGTAAATAAACCAAGTATTACAACGATCTGTTACCTTTTAAATTGGTTTGTTTTGTTGCATTGAATCATAAAGAGACCGAGATGGGGTAGGGGCAGGGCAGCTGACTTGGGACCTGAAAGTCTTAGGTTCAATCCCCAGTCATTCCCACGTGTCGTGGAGTCTCTGAGCAAGACACCTAATCCCTAATTGCTCCCCGGGTACCTACATAGCTGCCCACTGCTCCACCTGGGTGTGATGGGTTAAATGCAGAGAACCAATTTTGCCATTGTATGGAAACATACAATGATGACAACACATAGCACGTTAAATGCAATAAACAGAACCCAAACCCAAACGCCCCCCGCCCCCCCCCCCAAAAAAAAAAAAAAAAAAAGAAAAAAAATTAATTCATTGGTGGGCTGGACTGAAGTCACCCACGGGCCAGAAGTGGCCTGCAGACCACCAGTTGAATAGCCCTGCTATAAAAAATAAAAGCCTGAATTTGTAACAAACTTTTGATTACATCCATGTGCACAGCAAAGTATCAATATTTATTTATTGGCATTGATTTGTTAAATTAGGGTTAATTGCACACTAATAAGAAACCCAGACAACACAGCGTGTGATTGTAGTGTCATGCTGAAATGAGTCTATAACTGTCAATTCTGCATTATTTAAATATTTACATAGAATTCCGTGTTGTTTTGCAAGTGAAAATTGTGGCAGCAGCAGCTAGCTGTAGCACTTCTGGTGTGCCTGGGGCACAATAACAACATTTCTTACAGAATAACTGAATAATGCAAAACTTACAGCAATTAAAATGGTCATATTCTTATGAATCTTTATGACTGTTTAGAGACTTGGAGTTGTTTTCTCCAAACTGAGGCTTTTCAGTGAGCTACAACTGGTAAGATGTTAATTACTTATATTCTTTCAACATAATCCTACTGCAAACAATCTGAAATATCCCTTTAACAGTGACCAGAAGGTAAAACGTACATTCTTTGTGGGGCAACTGTGGCTGAGTAGTTAGAGCAGTCGCCCTCCAATGGGAAAGTTGGGGGTTCGACTCCACCAGCAGTCACATGCTGAAGTGTCCCTGGGCAAGACACTGAACCCCTCAATGTGTCTGATGTGTGTCCCATCAGTGTATGAATGTGATAAATCACTGATTAATCTTTGTATAGATCTAGAAGAGTGATGTATAAATGGGTAAATGAGGGCACAGATTGTGTTGTAAAGCTCTTGGAGTATCTTGAAAGGTGTTACATAAGTACAGTCCATTTACCGTATATTAATAAGACTTGGAAAATGATTGGTCAGGACCTGGCGACACGTGAACATGTGAGTCGTGGCAGACAGGAAGTCACTGAACAAACTGAGCTCCATCATTGATGGTCCTTCCCATCTATCGTGCTACAGAGACAGCAGAGCTTTTTCTCCACTTGTCTCACTGAGCTCCACTGTCATTAAAGGAGGGGGTCATTCATATCATTTCATCGCCCTCTTTAACAGCTCATCTCTGGGTAGATTAATGTTTTTTTTCTAATAACTACTGCAAATATGTAAATGTTTGTGCATTCTGCCTTTTAGAAGCACCTTTTGATATAAACCTTGACTGTATTTACATTTCTTATAACAGTAGCTTTACTGTTATTCTACATTTCCTTATTTCTTATTTATATGTACAGTCTGTTTATGCTTATCCTGCTTGTACCATTTTCTTATGCTTTACTTATTCATGCAAACTATCCTTGACTTCTGCTTTTTGCAGTTATTTTATGTTTGCTTATACCACAAAAAATAGTTCCTCTCAGGAGATGAATAAAGTCTCCCTGTATCTATCCATCTCCTAAAAGGAGGCAACAGTAAGCATACAAATTAAAACAGCTGGCAAAGAGTACCCTCCCCAGATGAATAAAGGTTAACAAAATAAACAAATGTAAAGGAAAAGCTGGATTGTGTGGATTTGCAGCATGATATGTGAAGACACCACGCATGTAACTGTGCAGCTTTCAACTTGACCGATAGCAAATCTTCTGTTTCTCTAAACTGAATGCACTGTACACGACTGTTAAAATATAAGTACTTTGCAAAACCTGACTTCAGAAAACTATATAAACAAATGCATAAATAAACTTGTACATGGAATTACACACACTGCATAGTTTGAATGAAAAATGAATTGGGCACTTTTATTTACAGATAAAATATGAGCTGGAATAATTCAGAGATATAAAAAAATAATAATCAGTATACTGACTGGAAATATAAAATTAAAAAGATATATATTTGTGCATGTGCAATAAAAAAAGTGTTTTGACGCAAACCTGAGATAGTGCTTGATAGTACTTGTTATGGTCTTAATCTCCCACTCCGGGTTATCCAGTTCCACGTCAGCACATGTTTTAGGATCTGACCAAGAGAAAAATACAGAGAAGGATTAAAAACATACAGCAGGGAGGCTCTCCAGTCGTTTAATTTGACTACATTTACTGTGTGAATTTACCCATAGCCAGGCTCAGCAGTTTTTGTACTTTGGAGCTAACGCCGACGATTCTATACAAGCCCTGCTCATCGATTCCTGAGGGAGGAAAGAGGAAATCATGAACCTCATGTATGATACATTTTTATATAAATCCAAAGCATCATCACAACTCTTTAAACTCTGAATTTGTTGCATTGAAATAAAACAAAATCACTGAGTTTTTCAAGTTCAAGTTCAAATTCATTAACTTTATTGCCATTTCTAACACATGTGGTACATGAGGTGGAACGAAATTATGTACACAGGGTCACAGTTACTCCCAAAAAATAGCAAATATATAAAGTATAAAAAGAAACAGTAATTAAGGATCTAAGATATACACTAATACTAAAACACTGAACGGTACGCTAAAAGATCTACACTAAACACACAGTATAATGTAAAGCAATACGAAAACATGAGTCTATGGTGAGCAGATGGGTATGAATGAATACAGCAGCATGAGATCAGCAGCAGCATGAGATCAGCAGCATGGATAATCAGCATGAGATAATCAGCAGCATGAGATGAGCAGCATGCATAATCAGCAGCATGAGATCAGCAGCACATGTCAAAGTTTAAGTTTAAGTGTTTGTCAATTATACATTTATCTTTTAGACATAAACAGCATCCTGACTTATTTTATTTTAGTTGCAGCAGACTGTAGCAGTCACTGCAAAGTCATTGTTTTAAATATTCGGCTATTTTAGCGCCTACGTTGTACAAATGAAATAAAACTTTAATTGAACATTCTACTTTAGGTTCAACTTCAAAGAGAAATGTCCGACAGTTCAGTGTGTCTTTCATTACAGACTTAAAGTCGATGTATTTCTGGGGAAATGGCACAGACTTGGCAGCAAAGGATGCTCTTAGAGCAGCAGATGAAACAAGGGGCTGACTTTGTGAGCATGTGGACCTTTATCGTGACATTTTAGAAGAGTACCTGCAGAAAGGGATGTCCAGATACATCAACGGAAACATAAGGATTCAGGTTTAATTTATTTTTTAGTTGTTTTTTTTTCTCCTCTGTCTTTCCCAAATCAACCATTTTTCCAGATCTCAGCCAGCACATTAAGTATGCACAACAATGTTCCTACAATAAATCAAGTACTTTTTCCTCATAACATATTTAAATCTTAACCAGTTGTTTACATAAATTACAATTAAATAAATACCCAACATTTGTTGAGTAAAATAAAATAAAAACAATCGGTAACCTTTCATTTTTAGTCCACTGCTGCCCACAATGCATCTGTGTAGTTTGTGTTGGACACTTAGAAACAAATCTTAGTGAAAAATGCAAACAGACAAAACAGAAGAAGTTAGGTTGTTACCATACCTCGAGTTTCCACAGCATAAATCAGCTTTTTCATAACGTTGAACCCGATCACATCCAGCTGGGCCACTGATGAGAAAGAAAATAAGCTGAATGAGTCTGAGGCGACCAGGAACAAAAAGAAAAAACTTGACTACCCTGTCCTTTAATCAAAAATTGTACATTTATTTGTTTAATAAATGCATGTTTGATGTGGTTTTGTTCTACCAAGCTTTTTATGATTACATCCAATGTTTTTAGATTTGTCTTTTAAGGTTCTGCCAAGATTTTGCTTCAAGAGTCTGATTGCTACGTAAAGTTTTCTCCTCAATATCCCAGAAGTGGTAAGATCTCAAATCTGCAGGGGCAAATACATATCTCTGAACAATGTTTTATGCTCTTCGAAACGCTCTTATGCAAGCTCATAGAGTTCTCACACTGTCGTTCATTTAGATTATTCAGGTATTTAGTCATTACGTTCATATCAAGAGAGTAGTATCTGAACAGTTCCTCTAGAGCTCCAGTTAGGTATGGTGTCCCTGTCACTAGAAAACAAGGCTGGACTCATCAGTAGGCCTGTTGTGAAAAAACAATAAATCAATTAATCGCATGATAAATTAAAATTATCAACCTCATTTTCATTTATCGGCTTTATCGTTTCTTCGTGTCTCTCTCTTTCTACTGAAGACACTGGATGACAAAAGGCTCAACTCTGGTGCTCTTCACTGACCCCTCCCTTTCTCCTTTCTCTTTAAAATCCGTTTTAATCATCCAAAATCAAGTTTTTGGATCGTTAAAAGCAGCTAAGCTGAGAAGCTAAGCTACGAGCTAAGCTAATAGGCTGACCTTGGAAAAAAAAACTTTGTCTTGTCGAAACTCCAAAATTCACGGTTGAAACGCGTACCTTTGTGTAAAAAGTTGTTTTTCTCTGAAAAAAGAAGCTGAACTTGTTTACTGATTTTTTTTTTCATTAAAAACTTTGTGTGAAAAATGCTAAAGAGCTCAAACCACACCGAGCGACCGCCATTTTGAGAACCAAAAAAAGGAAAGAGAGACAACCCATGTCACGTCAAGGGGCGTCCCTCCCATTTTTCTTAAGGAAACACGCTGTTCGCTCCCTCACTATCCATCCTTCAGTTCAAACAGTCTTATACTGCAATCCGGTGGTCAAACAAGATACTATACACAAAAATTTACCAACATTTCTTCTTAAATTTGACAATAATTACTAATTATTGTCAAATTTCAAACAATATTATCGTTTATTGCAATAATTTCTGAGGCAATTAATCGCACAGCAAAATTTGTTATCGTGACAGGCCTACTTATCAGATAACAGAACTCCTTTTATATTGCTCTATAGTCCAATTATCTATCTATAGCAAATTAGATATTTTTTACCAATTACCCTATCTAACTTCAGTCTACATAAATGTTTAGTCCCAATATCTTAAATTATCTTTGCAATGTATGAAAATGCTCCAAAATTTACTATTAAACATTATCTTAAGTTCCTCTATTGAGTCCTCTTCGATTTCAACTAAAACGTAAATGATTTCCTATCATGATCACTATTTTGTTTTCCCAATCACCTGTTTCTCAGCTGCTATCATTTGAATTTTACTAACGTGTTATAGATCTCAACTAAGCCCTTTTTTTTTTGCATGACATGGAAAAATAATTTGCTCTTTCAAAATACATATTTACATTCTTTTAATAAACAACTAGAACCAGGAAGTTTTCACTGCATCAGTCAGGGTTAAATAAGCTGTTGTTGAAACTAAATTAATTACCGCAGCTCTTTTTATATAAAAAAAAAAAAAAACCCTATGATGATTCACTTACTGCCTTCAGCTTGGTTGTCTTTGTTGAGATTGTACACCTGCCAAACAAAAAAAAAAAAAAACAGCACATTAGCTTCAGCAACTAGAAAATAATTGTAGTCAATAAAGAAGATTGTGCATTAGTTTTATTGCTCAATAGCAAGGTCGTTTAATGTGAACCACATCATCATGTAAGAAACATCTTAGCCAAATTTCCTAAAAAAGGTTACATTTAACCAAGTTCATGATTTTTAATCAAATCTTTATGGTTTCTTGAAAGTCTGAAAAGTTAAAAGAGATGTTGATGTGTGATTTTCCTAGAAAAGTGGGGCAAAAGTTCAGGATCCAGTGCCAAGTGGTTCTGATTACCATCAGGCTCATGTTTTGTAATAGCAGTAAGATGATGATGCTTCAGACAAACGGCAACAAACTAAAATCCTCACAATATTTTCTGAGTTATATATGTGCTCCACTAGTGGGGCATGATCAGGGCCACGCTAACATAAATAAAAAAATAAAAGGTTGCTGGATTAAATAAAAATGCTCTGGTAAGCATGCTGAGGCTTTTCTTGTTTATCCATGTGCTAAAAAGAAACCAACAACAATAAAACGGTATAAAGTCACCAATGTTCCACAGAAGTTTTACTTTGTAGAAGGCTTTAAAAATAAGAAATAGGTTCATGATAATAATTTAAGTTTTTGATAGAAAACAATTATTTTAACATTTTTTGTTATACATTTGTCCTTTAATCCAGTGGTTCTCAAACTGGGGTCCCCAGATCGCTGGGTGTCCGCGAACTGGTGCTTGGGGGCTCCCAAAGCAAAACATTATTTTTGTTTTTATAAGCACGTAAATGTTTAACAACTCATTAAAATACACCATAAACGCAAGAAATTACTTCTACTTTATGCAAAATTTTCTGGGGGAGGACCCCTAGATCTACCCCGCCCCCATTTGTGTTCCAGCATCAATTAGTTTACAAATCATTAAGTCCTGTTACTTGGTCTGACTACAGCTGTAATGATTCTGTTCAGTTTTATGTAAAGAGTTTTCTGTAATAATTCAAAGAAGTGGTAATACATTTATGTTCATTATGTGAATAGGTAAAGTTTTAAAGTAGTTTTTGATGCTGTTGATTTTTTTCTAAACTGTAATCTTTGGAAGTTGAAATTAAACATTTTTTTTAATTAAGTGTGTCTTGAATGAAAAATACCCCATGTTTAAAAGTATAAAAATTGTATTAACACTATTAAAGAACAGCTCTTAAGTATTTATGTTACACAAATATTCCCATTGCATTAAAGAGACAAATTGAAGACAATTATTTAATAAACATGAGGGTTATGAGGGGGTTCCCTGAAACTTTTTCTCCCCTGTAAGGTCCATGAACACAAAAAGTTAGAGAACCCCTGCTTTAATCTAATTGTGTGGGAATTAGCATAATTTTAGTGTAACTTGTGTTGACAGTGAACTGACAATGAAAATGCAAAGATGTCTTTATTTTATTTTATTTTCCAATAAACTTTATTTATACAGGCAGTCTTACTGAGTCACGAGGACTCATTTCAAGAGAGACCTCAAAAAGTAGGTAACGGCTGAGAAGAAAAACTTTTCCCATTTTCAAACAGCTCCACTAAGCTGCGTGTTCGAGCTCGTAGGTTTTCCGCATATTAGTAGAGAAACGTCGAGACATGAACAGTCTAAAAACACTTGCTTTAGGGTTAAAGTTTAGAAGGCTGCTCAAACCAAACGTTGGGCTGACTGAGTGAAATCAACAACATGAATTATTACGAATTGCTTTTTTTTTTTTTCTGTAATTAAACGACAAGTCGTGTAGTGAAGCAGAGATATGAAAACGAACGCTGCAAAAAGCTTTTATTAAAATGTGAAGCGTGCTCTTGTTTTGCTTAGAGGACATGCTGTCTCGCTCTCTCCTCGTCTGTCTGTCACTGCTTGTCTTTGTCACGTAAGCGCAAACCGGTAACCATGGTAACCTACCGGCTCTCTACCGTCCATCGCCTCCATCCACAACCTGCGGTCGTCCTCTGACAGAGCCTGCATGGTGATCACGCCGGGCCTTCACACATAAAGAAAGCGCATTAGCTTAACAAATTTGATGGTAAGTTTATTTTCTGAGGAACTAACCTGTAATGCATAAATGCATCACCGACTAACAAAATGCTTCATTAAAAAGTTGTTTAGATGGATAACTGCATGTAAGTCATTGTTTTTAGGAGCAAAGCTCGTTTAGTTGTGCATGCCAGGAAAAGGACTCCCACGTTCAATCAGATGATCAAGCCCACAGATCAGAAAAGGATCAGCACAGGATGATGGGTGTTGACTGAAAATTCATCAACTAACAAGAATTCATTTGACTAAGCAGCTTAGACGAATCATCCAGACAGGGGCGTCACTCGCTGTGCGTGTACTCACACCTTAGTCACTCACACAGCCTCATTAGCCCAGCTCGGTCCTCGACAAGTTTCCGATCGATCCCATACAGTCAGTCACTCTGCCAGCAGCAGCACATTCATCTTCTGCTCATCGCCATGCGCTCCTCAAATTGTGACACACTACTCAATACACAATATCCCTCACTCGGACCATTCGCATCCAATTACAAATGTATAAACACGTGTACTGCAGAAAAAAAGTTTGTCTCTCCCTCGAGTTAGTGGTAGTTTAAGAGAAGGAACTGATCTGTTCTGATCCAAAAGAAATAATCACAGGTTTATCCACAAAGAGGTGCAGACGAGTTCTTGGTGAACTAGAGCAAAAACAGTTTAAGTGACACGTTTAATTGGAGTTTAAGGATTTTTACAGAACATTGCAGTAACAAGATACAGTCACAAAAATAAAGTGAGGCTAAATATGTCAGTAAATGCAAGAATGTTTTTTTTTTTTTACTTTATATTTAGAAAAATCTGTTCTGATCATAGGAATTATTTAAAAAAATAAAAGGTCAAACAGCTGCTCCTGCCAATCAAATGTTTACAGTTATCAATATGACTGAAATGCCAAAATATTAAAACATCAACTTGTGTTAGTCTGAGCTGCAGGGGTGACCATGCATAACGTTATAAAAAAAAAAAAAGCTTTTTCAAACAAAAAGTTGTGTTCACTACATGCCAAAGAAATATCGTCATAAACTTCATCTTGTAGTTTTTTAGTGCAATCTCAAGCCCCAGTTTTGAAAAACTAAAAAGCCTAAAATAAAACCAAAATACAGCTCTATAAACCTCTCCTCATATCACAAGCAAAGCAGAACCTTTACAAAAACATTTAAATAGAATGCATTTATTCCAGTCAGTACATACATGTGTAAAAATAATAATTACTCATTTCTAGATCACTTGTCAGCTCCTTTCACAACTAAAGAAAACAAATAAACCAGTGCTGCAGTCAAACAAATATTAGAGATACTAAAAGGAGATAACAAAGGTGAAGTGAGGTAAAAAGATAGAAATTGTGGAGGAGTTGGAGGTGAAAGTGGAGAGAATTTAAAGGGAGGAGGGCGCATCACAGCGGATTCTGAGGAGATAACAGCCATATTTGTATCAACTGAACAGCACCCTCGTGTGGCCTTAATCTGCAATTACACCCTTAAAAAATAATTTTCTACGAGTCACTGGAGTGACAGGGATAGTTTATTTAATAAGAAATTATAGGAACTGAAGGCACATAAAATAATTATAAGGGAAGACTTGGTTTAAATGAGACAGAAAAATATTACTAAACACACATTCACACACACACACACCAACCTGTCCACAGCCTCGACATCAAAACAGAACCTCTTTTCTATCGACTCCGTCTTCCTTCTAGTGCATGATTTGAGGATAAAGCTCTCCTCTTCTCCCTGACAAACAAACAAACAAAAAACATTGTAGTTTCGGAATATTACTTGTACAAATATGCTTAAAAATGCTATAAAATCAGAAAAACTTTACGCTGCTAACCATATATTAGAACATGTTTATACTAATCAACATGAATGCCGTTTCATTTCAGTATGTACTTGTACATAGCTGAAATGACAATAAAACCTGTCTGACTCTGACAAACATGTAAAACACCACTGAGGGCATTAAAATAGAAATACAGCGTTAACCAACTGCAGTTTTAAACCAGGATCAGCCTCTTTGGGCTGCTATTCTTATTCTCAGTCATTTAGCAAATATTTAAGCAAGTTCCTGGATGTTTGTAAGATTTAAAGATGTTATATGGGACTTGAAACATCATTTGGTTTAAATGAAAAATAATCAGTTTTTGTAATTCATTCTATTATAATAAAGATACAAGGCTTTCTGTGGTGTTCTAGTTTTACCTCAGTAACTCAAAATGCAAAATAACAGTCAGTATTGAGCTGAACTTCTATAATTGTTAAAATATTAATGTTGCAGTGCTCCTTCAATACGTAACTTATTAAACTCTAATCTACTGATAAGGGTCCAACTCCGAGTAAGAACGCTGGCGCTCGCCCCTCATTTCAGTATTTCCAGTCAAAACCGTGCTCTGGTGTGAAGTCATACTTTGTAAACACTCGTTGTACCAAAAGACTGAGTTACAACTTGATATTTCTTCTAAAAGACTACGTTTGGGAATGGTTTACTGCTATTATTTTACAAACATTTTATTTTTTTGTGTAAGAAAACGCACAGGAACAGAGTGTGTGACTGTGTCCAACAGAAAAAAAGCGCAGAATGTGTTAATGGGCGAACGTTCAAATCACACACATTAAAGCTCCGGTCCAACGAAACTAGGACGTGTGTGCATGAGGCTGTCTAAGATTTCAGTGCAGTTTTTGTTTTTCCTCTCAGATAGACATGCATCACATCCTGGATGCTTTGTGAACTTGTGATGTCTATTTTGACATGAATGCTTACCATCTTGCCTCCGGATTTGGGATCAAACAAAACCATGGTGACTTTCTTGGGCTCCCGATGATACGTGCAGTAGTACTTGACCCAGGTAGATACAAACGAGCCTAATGAAATAATAATAATAATAATAATAAAAACAATTAAGAGAGAAAAGACTGGAACAAAAGGACAGGTTCTACCACTTTGTTTACTATGTTTCTTTTGGCCATTGTAAATATTACCGTATTTTTCGCCATATAAGTCGCACCTTTTTGCATAAATTTGCCAGTTCTGCGAATTATACAGTGAAGCAACTAATATAATTTTTTTCCCCGTATTTATAACCCAATTTTTGTCTGCGATCTGACAATTTCATTCATTCTGACATGGAAAATATTGAACACTACCATTTTCAGCCACTAGAGGGCCTTCGAGCAATATGGCAAGCGTCTCATTAATAGTCAAAAGTGGCTATTAATGAGACACTTGGCCTGCCATACAAGCCACCTCCATCTCGCTCCGGAACTCCTGGAGCAAACGTCAAATCAGCTGCATTTCACTGCCCAGGCGAAATGCAGCTGATTTGACCGTTAAAGAGCATTTATTAAGGAAAAGTTCAACTAAGACACACCTTGCTATAATGTCGAGCAAACAAACAATTGTTTTTAAGTGTTAATCTTGTTAAACTCTTATTAAAGTCCTCTCGTGCACGCTTTCACGGCCGCCATTTGGCAGTCAATTGATTTTTTGGCACAACACCAGCGGCGCATGTTTCTGGGTGGTCAGTGGTGACGCATAATAGATGTGCTTATACAGCGAAGCAACTTTTTTATGTGTTTTTTTTCCACTTAATTAGACATTTTTGGACTGATGTGACATGTACGGCGGCAAGTACGGTATACTTCTTTCCACTTTTGGTACTTTATTTTGTACTTTTATTGCATGCTTTAGTATTTCTTGTTTTTGTAGCGAGTTGAAATGGTTCCTCTCATCCTGAACATTTTGTTGCATTGTTGACCTTGTGTTAACCTGCATATGACAAATAAACAATAAACTAGAGACGGAAGAATGGTTAAAAAAACAAAGTGATGTCAAACGGTTGAAAACAAAACGGAGACAAATTCAGACCGAGACAACATCAACAACAAAGGCATGAGTCAGGCCTCCTTTAGCAGTAGATACGTTACCGTGGTAACCACAGGAGAACAGGGCTGCTGTCACGTCTCCAACGGGTCAGACTTGACTTTGTCAACTATTGGTTCATTATGGTGTTTGTTCTGCTGCTCTGGTGCAGAGTGTGTGTGTGTGTGTGTGTGTGTGTGAGTCAAACACCAACATCCAGGACTCTCACACACACTCACGTTAGTTTAGGTTGTAAGGAACGAGTTGGGACTCACGCTTCTCCAGTATGAACAGGTAGCCCTCCATGGTGTGCTGGCTCACAGTCTTGTGCTCGAGTGGATTCTCCTTCATCTTCCTCATCAGAAGCTCCACTTCAGACCGCGTGCTCTCAAAGCGATTCCTGGTCTGTGAAGCCAAGATGGCACGAGAGCAGAACTCCCATGAAATGATTTTATCTTGAACTTGCAGAATCAACTCAACTATTCAATTATTACTACTACGAATTATTTTTCTACAGAGATAAAAGAAAAAAAAAAGTTTTTTAATTGTAGCAGTTATTCATTCAGGTTAATGAACTGAAGCATCTCTTTTAAAAGGCCATGTTATCGACAAGAAGACACATTTTCACCTGATTAAAAAAAGAACTGTGCATAAGTCTTAAACCACCCTCAATATTTTGCTCCGAAAAGGGTAAAATTCTTGAAAGTTGGAAAGTTTTTTAAAGTTTTGTCATGTTTTCACACCAGATTTCTCTCTTTATTCACCTGATGAATACCAGCCTGACACTAAAATATGGAATTTGCTTTTAAATTGTGTTGGTAGACTGTAATATGATGTGTAGCTTATCCCTATAAAGGCCAGTAACTGCAGAAATGGCGAAGATTCAAAAAAGTGGTGGACTAAAAAAAAATGCAGGAATGCAAGGTTGACACAAAAGAACTGAGTGAAAATGTGTAAAAATCAAACACTTTGCCATCAAAGAAAAGCATATTTATAAAGTACTGGCCTCTTCAGAGGCTGTAGCCCAACATTAGGATTTGGAGAGGTGTAGGTTCATCTCGTCAAAAAATAAAGGAAAAGGCAGCAAATATCTGATGAGGAGCTACGTTGTCATTGAAGAAGTCTGGCGAACGTTTTGTAAAGACTACCAAAAAAAACAACAACAACGACAACAACAAAAAAACGTGCTTTAGAGTGCAGAAGAATGAATGAGGTCAAGCCAAATCCAGCTTAATTTAATTTGTTCAAACTTTGTTTTTGCCTTAAAAGTATTGTTTCTAACAATGTTTGCCCGTGATTTAAAGAACTCTGAGTAAATAATAATTGAAGTGAAGTGGCTCAAGTCTTTTGCACAATGCTTGACTTTTATCTTATGTTTTAATTAAATTCAATCAAAACCAAATTAAAATCAAAGTACTAAAGATTACGGTTTGTAGGTGATTTAACTTATCAACAAGCTTGCTCCTTTCTACTAAACGCTGCATTTCTTCACCTGCAAGTTTATATACAGTATATATATATATATATATATATATATATATATATATATATATATAT